GCACTCGGCCCATTCGATTAATAATAACACGCTAAATCTTAAAAGTCCGTGATTAATTTAAGGCTTAATAATTGATCGTTATTTACCAGCAGAGACTAGAAATAAATAGAATTAAATACAATATATGTATGCGTGTCTGTATGTATGTATGCATGTATGTATGTATGTATGTACGTGTATATATTATATATAATATATCCTTTATGCAATTAATCATCTCTGTATACGTATAGTAAGCCTATTTAGAGATAATCTGATCTAGGAAGTTTTTTTTCTTTATTTGCTTATTGTTCCTCTCTATTATTCCTAGTTGGCCCGATAGATGTTCCCAATACGTTTTGCATCCGTTCCTTCGCCTCTACGTGGAACTGCCTCTCGATTCCTGCTACGCTAACACGTTCGTTCGAGCGAGTCGACGCCGTTCGTTCATCGAGATTCTCGCTTCGTCGTCGATGAAGCGAAATCCGTTCGGCGGTTGCGAACGCGGCGAAACACGAACCGTTGGCGATCGACGCCGCGATCGTTCGCGCGCGGAGTCGGCACCCCGTCGGTGTACCGCGCGGAGAACCCGTGTTCTCGTCCCTGAAGTCGCCGCTTCGACGCGTTCTCGTTCCCGTACTCGAAGAGAACAATCGTTCCTGTGCGTTTAGCGTGATCGTTTTGTCAATGATCCCCCGGGATCGCCGATCCCACGATTACGGAAGTATCCAAGTGACGACGGCTCCTCGTCCGGCGAGCTTCGCTCCCGCCGACTCGCGCCGATCCTCCGCCATCTTGTCGGTCCCTCGGCGCTGCTCACTTCGAGCAGCAGACGCGCACTCTTCGCTCGCGAGCTCTCCTTGGATCTTTGGTGCCCTCGTTTCGCGACGGGGCGCGATCGATGGTTCAAAGGGAACTGCGGGATATTCGGATTTCTGTGTATTGTGCTTTTAGAGGGCTGGATTCGTGGAGTTCTTTGACTTTGTATCGATGTTTTCGTTGGTCATTCGCGTGAGAGATGTTAATTGGTTTGTGGGCCCTTCTGTTTCGTTAATATTTTAGTTATTGTAATCTTTATCGTGGTAGGAGTTATTTTTAGTTGGAACTTTCTGTACTATTTTCTGTTTGTTGGCTGCTTCGTCGTTTTGGTTCTTCATCTTTGTTAAACCTCTGTTTTCTTTGAAATAGTAGCTGAACCATTTCTTTATTTACTCTGTGCAGTCAGCGATCCTGTCAATGTTCTTTAGTCTTTCTTGCCCTCTTCCTTTTTTTCTTTCTTTTCGTAATACCGATTTCCAGATCAAATCCCAATAAAAAAATATTCCTTTCTCCTTTCTTCTGAACAGTGTCCTTCTCCATACATCTTCTTCTTCTTCCTTTAATTTCTATCCACAGGACGTGTCTTCCTCCTCCCCTCTATTCCCATGATTCCATAATTTTCTCAAAATCCACTAATCTCTTCGCAACATTCATTTCTAAACCAAGTTCCCATGAAAACTACTCTTTCCTGAACCCAATGCTCATCCATCTTCTACACTTCTCCATTCTCCCTATAATCCCACCAATTTACATGATTTTTCGAAATTCGCGAATCTTCTGAACCATCTCCAAACCAAGCTCCCAAGAATGCTTCTTCTTGAACCCAGAACACATCCTCTATACTCATCATCCGCAGACTGCTTCCTGTTTCTTCTTCCTTCTCGTGATGCTTCCACTTCGCAGTTACGATTTGTTCCTCGGATTGGTTCCCTTCTGATGGCAACCATTCTCAAACCAAGTTCCCAAGAATGCTTCTCCTTGAACCCAGAACACACTCATCCTCTATACTCATCATCCGCAGACAGATCACTTCCTCCTTCTTCCTTGTTGCGACGCTTTCACTTCGCAGCCATGACCTGTCCGTTAGATTGGTTCCCTTCTAATCGCAACCATTCTCAAACCAAGTTCCCAAGAAAGCTTCTCCTTGAACCCAGAACACGCTCATCCTCCATACTCGTCATCCCAGATCACTTCCTCCTTCCTTGTCGCGCTGCGTCTACTTCATAGCCACGACTCGTCGGTCGAGTCGGTTCCCTTGTGATCGCACCTCCGCCTCGTACCGTAAATCCGATTTGATCGGGCCGGATCGGCCGGACGGAAGCGCATATCCCGGTGTCTTCTCCCGGCCGGAGCCGGGGCGGGCGAGCACACAGCGGATCGGGGGACAGCCGTTCTCAGCGACTCTCGCTGAGCATGCCCGGAGCGACGCTGGTTATGGTGACACGGGGCAAAGTCCACGGGATTGCCGGTGATCGCGGAACAGATGGCACGAGCACGCCGGGGACTCTCTGTTACACGTCGTCCTCTATACTCCGCAGGGGTATTTGTTGCTTTTGCGCCACCGCGTTCAGCACGTAGCCCAGCTGGTCCAATTTCTTGTCCATCACGGACAACTGCGGACAGAAACGGTTCCCATGTAAGAATCAATCTCGCCAGGCGCGCGCACAAGAAACTCTTTATCTCCGGGGTGGAAGTAGTTTTCAAGGGCCACGCGAAAAAAGACTAATAAATCGCGGAATTGCGGGATCAATCGGGGATAACATTTTTTCCCCATTTTTTATCGAGGATTCGTGAGACGATAGCACATCGTGTGACGCGGTGCTCCTATAAGCAACTGAAGATTACGTGCATTGCCTGTGTAGGACACGATTAGACGATCTCTCGCGCTGGAAATTAACGCGTTCACTTTGAAATCGGTGATCGACGAAAGCAGTTCTTTTTTGCTTTGTTAAGTGGTTGATTCTTGGAGAGTTCGAGCGAGATTTCATACTTTCAGAATAAAATTATTATATCGGTTTATTTGTAATACTGAGAATATAGGACAGTCATTGCTGTCATTCGCTCATAGATTTATGGCAGAGATTTGGCGAAGTCTTGCGCGAAGAGTTTTCTTTTTACGTTTTGTTTATTAATCATTTTGTGAAGGGAAAAAAACATCTCGATGCGAGTTTCTCCAGCGCGAGAGATTAAACAGTTTTGAACATGATGATAGTGAGATTTTTTGTAAAGAAATCATAGAAGTATGCAATAGAGGATGAGTAATATCAATTATGGCGATGAAGAACATTCGACGAAGATTCTGGACTAGTATTTAACAGAAGATGACGATGAAATTGAATTTGAAGAGATTCTGAGAGCGATCAGACTTCGATTTCACCTAGTTTTGTGGCAACAAGGTTACATCTATAATTAGATTCACTCATGAAATTATTCTGTAATTGAAATGCAGAAATTCGATGACCCTACCCCATTAAAATATAATAAAATGATCATTGTTTGTTATTACATTAATAGAATACGTATTTAGTTCCAACTTTCTGGTTTCATAAAATGCAGAATGCATCTCTGGCATTGTAAAGGGTCCAACTGAATAATGTTTCGGATAAATTCAACAGGAACCGTAGGAATGTTTTGCGTGCGTATTTCGAGAAGAATTAATCGATTGAAATGGCTGGTTTGTTTTGTTGCGCGGAGAGTGAAATATTTATGTGCTGTGCGGTAATGAGGAATTTATTGCCCTTAGTTTTGCGCGTTCGATGTTTGTTGCGGGGAAACTGAATATGCATGGGTATACCAACAAATATTTATTTTCTTTATATATCTTTGTTTCCCGCGTTGAATGTTATTTCCATCGAGAACGATGTCCGAAAACCAAGTGAAACCGAAATTATATTATTTAAAAGCGTGGAAGAAAAATTACAGTAATTAATTTCACTGCTCTGGATTTGTAAAAAATATAACTACCAGAATTAAGCGAATTCTACTTTCAACTGAATTTTCATGTCAAGGTATTTTAAGGTAATTCAGTTTATTTATCAATCGATTATGCGAGTAATAGAAGAATCGAAATTATGCAGAGAATGCGAGGAAATTTTATGTTTGAATTTCATTAGATTACAATGTACGCGTTTTGTATATTGAATGAAGAGGAGAATGTTTATTAATTTTCAGGGTTTGGAATTGATTTGGATGATTTACGGTTGACGTTTTATGTTCGTAACGTTTGACACGCGCCAGTCTATGCTACGACATTAATGCGATACATCAGGCGGCTGACGTTTATATTTATTAATTATAGCGCCTGTGGAAGACGAGTATTGATAATGACTCGCCAACTAATTATACAATATAAAATGACCTATAGAACAACAATGGCGTGTTCAATTACAGTACATGTTATCGAGTCCAGGACTGAATATTCAGAGAAAATCTGGGCTTCTCGTGCAAAAGAAAACGAGGAAAATGAATCGCTGAAGTATCCATTTAGTTTGATTAATCGACCGTTCAAACACGAAACTATTCGATATCGGAATGGAAATATTAATATATAACCGTCATAATTAACTGCATGAATATTCATCCGTACGGAAAATTCATGATATTTCACTCTGTTGATTCTTGGTTCGCGAGAATCAATATATGTATACCTTATATAAATAACAAATATCATTTTTACTTTTTCTTTGCTAATTCCTTTAATTTTTCGACAATTTTCCTTTATCAGGTGCAAACAGGAATTATCACTGATTACCATTTTTTGATAAAACTATAATTGATGTTTCTTTTCTGTAATTTTATAAAAGACAGTAGTTAACTGACAAGTATAACTATAAAAGATTTAAAATCGTTCAGTTAACGATACGATACACAGGATGACTATCATGTGTTCAAGTATCAATTAGAAGACCATCAACAATTGATTCGATTAAATTGTATTATAATTTGTAATATCGAACTTGATATCTCACTCTACACTCCTATCGATTATTCTGTCAAAAATAGAAACAGGAGTTGCTAAACAATGCAAACATGTTATACATATCTGTTTCATTAACAGTTTCAATTGGCAAACATTATTAGCGAAGCATCGAATTACCGAGTCATCGAATAAATAACGCGATTTTTATATGTGTTTATTCTTAACAATTCAGATGAACACAAGCTTAACATTTCCTTACAGATTATCTATAGATAACGAAAATTATTCTATCGCAAAATTTTCCCGCAGAATAACCCTAACCATTCAGGGTTAGGTTTGGACTCACCTGCTGCTCAACCCTGTACAGGCGTGCGCCTATCGTCATCGGCTTCACGTTGCCTGCCCGGTCGATTCCTGCCAGATAGCTGCCTGGCTTGCCCAGGGTCTGATCCAATCTCCTTTGCAACTCCTGTGAAAAGATACGAATTAGACGCGTATTATATGCTTGTCATTTGCCACTTGGTATTGATCCTGTAAATTGCCGTTATTAAATTCATTTATGTTCCACGGTGTATATATGTCTGAGTAAATAAGTGAGCAGGTACATGTCACGCTACTGTATTCAGCTTTCTTAACTTATTTATAATTCTGCTCCACTTTGGACAATTCTAATTATAATAAGGGTAACCAGTTCTTATAATAATTTATTAGTAACTATACCACTATTGTACTCAGCTCTTTTGTACGCACTCTTTAATTTCAATGATGACTCTTCAACTAAGGAGTATATAAGAAAAACTGATGGAAGATTTTGAATATTCGTTGGAAACTTTTACGGGCAAAGTACGGTTATTAATTTCTCATAATTAGCTACTCCACGAAAGAAAAGTAACAAAGCACCACATTAACTTTAACGACGGTATATAGTTCTCGCTGATTGAAGGAAGTAAAAGATAATTCCATAATAATTCTGCTATCATTAAGAATACCGCTGAAATATTACTGAGAAATACTAACGTTGCCATTGTCAAACGTAAATCTCCATTCTCTTAAGTTCCGTATGAAACATTAACAGTTCAGACACATTACCATTTTCAGACGAACACTAATGTGTTCATTTTCGGTAGAACACTCGTGTAGTGCAAAGGACGAAATAATTGAATTTGATCGTAGGTTATCGAAATTCTTCGGCGCTCGATAGCCAATAAATTCCAAAGTTATTTCGAATAAGCGTCCGTTCTTGGGTATCAGTCGCTAATCACGAGAGCCGGCGAGCGTTATGCCGCCGTATCGAGGCTTAACGGAATTATCGATTTTCCGAATAAATGATAAAGCCCCGCTCGCCGCGGATACCCCGGTCCGAACAAAAGATGCGAGCTCATCAAGGTTATATTAACACGATCGACAGTTTCATCGCGATAATCACGGTACACGTGTCCGAGTTCCTTCCGGCCGCGCCGGCGTTCCCGATTTTCGACGTATTTTCGAGATGAGAGCCCAGATGCCTGGAAGATATTCCGTTTCATAATAATCACGATAGCTCCCGCGCGGATTAATGGCGGACGGAGGCACGCTCCGATTTATTTAGAACGTGAAATACATCGGACCGCAATAATGAGACGCTCCCAGAGTGTGTTCCATCCCCTTTGATCGCGGGCCAACCTTTCTATGGTGTTCCTCGAGTATCTTATCGGAACCTGTCCCACTTCTGAATCCTCGTATTCGGTTCAAAAGAAAATTCAATTGAAAAGAAAAGGAAAGATCGATCCGAATACGCCGCGAAACGTGTTTTCTGATGCGAACACATGCTTCGCGATGAATATTACCAAGCGGAATGTTGTTTGTTTAATATTTGTGAGACTGACCTTTATGTAGATTCAAATGTTAGTTTGTGGGTTGCATACTCTTTTATCGATTTGATGAATTTGATGTATGCACATCTGCATTTTGAACGAATGTTTCACATTGGATTATCACATTGCTATGTAATATATCGTAAACAGATAATTAGCTCGATGGAAGTTGGATATTTTGTCAAATTCCGCGGTAATTAGCAAAGTTGCATAGCTAAGTGTCCTATGAAAACGAGATTTCTCGTCGTCTTAGCTTTCATACGAGCTGATTATGTATTTAGAATATATTATATAGCAATGTGACACTTCAGTTTTTATGTAATATATCCTAAACAGATAATCAGCTCGAATAAAATTGAATAGTTTTCAAATGCCGCGGTAATTAGCAAAGTTGCACAGCTAAGTGTCCCATGAAAACGAGATTTCTCGCAGTCAGTGTGCAACGTGTTATTATCGCTCGATGAACGGTGCACGCTCGCGCGGGGTTAATCCTCTGAAAACATAAAAAACCGTCACGCAGAGGACGGTGCTCGATACGCTTCAGATTGGCAGAGCATTATATCGACACCCGATCGACTAACCCGGCCCTTGGAGAGCCGTGTATCGACAACTCCATTGTCCCGCGCGCTGACATCGGCTTTATACGGTCCTCGATTGGCAGTGACATAATAATTGTCGGCGCGCAATCTGCATTTCGCCGGTCAGAAATGATACGAGGCGCAGCGCGGCTACCTTTGTACGTTCTCGCGACTGCTCTCTATCGCGTCTAATATATTTAACCCTTCCACCGTTTAGAGCGCTGCCCTTAACCCTTTGCACCCGAGCGGCGCCTTTCAATCGCCATTTGATTCGACCGAACAAAATGATCAAATTTAGAATTCAATATCAAATTTTATACAATGTATCGACACATGGATCATCGAAATAAACTAGTATTTCTTTACGTTAGTTGTAAAACATATCATTGATATTTCATCAGAAAATAATGGATATTTGTTAAGGAAAATATTCTCGAGTGCAAAGGTTAACTCCGAATTTCTTCTGCACTTGTTCCTCGATGACTGTATTATTACGATATTTGATTTCGAATGCATTTGTAGTGCAAAAAATTGCAGTATGCTATATGAAAAATGAATCTATCGAAGTCTAAATTGCTAGGCCAGATCTAGAATCCTTTCTGCCTCGTTAGGAATCTCGCTTCGATAGCAAACATAATTTGAAGAGTGCTAATTGGGAGGTCAACGCGTTAAAGACTTCACTCGTCCATCCTCCAACGACCGAGAAGTAATGAACTTTCGTCTAGAACTCGAGAACGAAACAAGATAGGGATCTGCGCGAGGATTCAGTTTGTAGCTACATCTTCATCCTATAAACATGCCAAAACCCGGCAGGTTTGCTTGACGCAGTCACAAACAGTATCATTTAGAGCGAGATTGGATATGGACGCGACGCCGGCGAGATACCCTCGCGAGTCTGAAATTTCAGGTTATCTCGGATCCCCTTACAGTTCTGACTCGGTTCCCGGGGATTTTCATTTCACCCCAGAATTCAGGGGGACACTCGACTGTATTCATTTGAAATCGGACGATGGAATAACGGCGACAGCGGCGTCCTCCCCTCGAAGTCCGTCGGAACTCGCTCGCGGAACGGAGGAGCTCGCCTCGCGCTGGCAAGAATATTTTCAGCTCGCCAGCGACTACGTACACGAATATAAATGATTTTCTAGCTATGAGATTGCACTTTCGTTTGTATTTTGTCTCGCTTCGATGGCAACGCTCGTTCCCGAGATACGGGCGAAAGTTAATTACTGGACGAGCGGTTCTTATGCATTTATAGGGGGTTCGAAATTGCCAAATAGCAGAGAACGCGCGCGAAGAAACATATTTGTTATGGAGAACCAATTTCTATGGTAATTCGCTCTCTCAGCTTCATTCTTGAAAAATTGAATTTGCATCGAGATCTACAGATTGCTTCTCCACCGACTCTTGTTTAACTTGTATCTTGAATCATCAGAGATTAAATAACAAGATCGTATTGTGAAAGTACGTTTGATAGAAAATGTGTAAAATATCGATACGTAGCAATTTGCGCTTCAAGACTTACTAAATAACAGAACGAAAGATAAACAGAATAAAAGGCAATATGTTGCTAAGTGAAAAGTGGGAGACCTTCCTATTTGGCTGGCTAAGTGTTAAGATCCATGGTTTACGAAAGCAAATACGACACTGAAACGCGAGGATAGCAACGCGTACAATGCCTCCTTTGTTTCCTCCCGTGTTTTGGAAAATTCATATTGTCAAAACGCTGCGGTGAACTTTGAAACGTTGATACGCCACAGCGAATGCTTCCGCACAAAGGTTTTGCAGTGAAAACTGATTCGAAAAAAAAATATCGAACGATTTTGTTTTGTAGCTACCTTGGTGTTTGCAAAATTTCTCAAGAAATTATTTTATTATTTGGCAATTTTTGTTAAGGGAAATAAGTGTTAAGTGCGAGTGCAACTGTGTAATATCCTTTTAATCTGTAGTTGTCAAGACTTTATGGATATTTAAGTGATGATATTGTTGTAAATAAAATTCTTTATTTTAAAGTATACACTTAATTTCCTTAAATGTTCTATTTTAAAGAAGATGTTAATACTTTACTGTCTAAGGAAAAAAGATTGAGCTGTGTTGAAACCTTCCGAAGAGTAATTCTGTAAAATCTGATTCTTCACTGATAATGTCATTGATTCCTATTAACAGTGAAATATAAATAACTAAGCACCTACTCGTTTTATAACTTCAACGATATTTTCACTGTGAAACCATTTTCCAGAATTTTGCTGAAAAATCACAATTTCTTCTCTGATTATCAATTATGAAAAGTGAACTGCACGAAGCAGTGAATCGTTTCTATTTCTGAAATTAATCTTCCTCGATGCATTCGTCTTTGACCACTATCCGTTTGTCCATACGATGGAACCAGATTTTGCGCCAGCGAATTCCAGATGCATCTCGTGCATCGTAAGCACGATCACCGCACGGTTATTTCTGAGATTAACGTTACATCTCGATCCGAAGACTCGAATTTCGCGGGATCGGGAACCTTGTTTGCATTTAATTGTCATTATGTAGCGGGATCTTCGCTCGCAATGGAATTAATCATTTCGTCGCTCAACAGGCAAAGACGAGAGGGTAATTGAATAATCCCTTGGAAAAGATTACTACTGGAAGCGTTTTAAATGCATTTAATAAGTCATCGCCGTTCGAGTTTCATTACTTCGGTAATTAGACGATTTAAATATAGGTATATTAACCCTTTGATATTTTTCATTAGAAACGTTCATTATTTTCTGATGAAACATTGACAATATTATTTGCAACTTACATGAACATCTTGCATAAATTAGGGCAGAAGTGTTTTATTTCTGTTTTATATGATAATACTTTATTCAACTTTGAACTCGTTCTTCAATACAGAAAAGAAATTTCTTTAATTCTTTTTATAACTGCCAATGGAATATTTCTTAAAAACTTTCATGTATCTCTACTGATGTTTTAGATAATTGAAAAATTCTGCATTTTGTATTTATTATTTTTTTTGCGCAGTTGGCAACAATAGCAACATTCATATTGAATAGCTGTTATTATATAATAACAATATTTATATCACTACACTTTATCTACCATACTTTTAATATTTACTTTCATTTCATCGTTTATTTTATTCTGATATTCTCCAAAGTTCTTTCACGACAGTTTTACATCTGCCATTTTCGTTCTTGTTTCCAGCCTCGTCGCGACATTCGACTTCCATAGGTACCTCCATACGCAAACATTAATATTCGTATTAGCAAAGGAAGTACCAAGATTTTCGAGTGCCTCAAAGCAACCGGTTTTTCCCGTAATCAAAACTCCATCTTGCCAGCTCCCAGCAGCAAACGAATCGTGAACCTACGTCCCGAAACGGTTTCGGGGCTGCAAATCTCATCTCGAGTTTATATCCCTTCGTTCGACAAACATCCTCAACAATGTTCACCACTCTATGCTTCGAATAGCATTTTAATTCGAGATCCTAATCCTGATTGTGAACACATGTCAAATAATCCTACCTTGCATTACTAGAAGTATCGCAGAAATTTAACCCTTTGCACTCCAGAGGCGCCTCTAAGTCACCAAATGATTTGACACAGCGAAACTGTAAACTTTGATATTGAATATTCGAAATGATTTTGAAAATAAATAGTTTCATTTGAGTACTATAATGAATGTCCGAAGAAACTGAAAATAATCTATTGCTACAATTTTTATGGGAATTGCGTATTAATCGTATTAAATGCTCGGTAGTTCTAGTGTTAATCGAGGATGAGATGAATGAGAGTTGCATATAGATTAGATTAGTTAGAAAAATGAATAATGCATAGAAATATTGACACTCATATGAAATCTTTAATTATATTATTACTCGTTGATCAGTAAGAGATAAACATTCGATTTTTTCGCGTAATGTTATCGTAATAATTTCATATGTATAACTGCGACTGTAGTAACTCTGAAATGTGCTCGAACAAATGACTAAAATGTCACATGGAACTGCAGTTCCAAAATAGACAACCGAGAATACTTGAAATCGCGAAGCGTTCAACCTTTGCCTTATACCGAGCGAGTGGTTATTGATTGAAAAAAAAGATGATTAAATAGATACCGATAGATAGAGTGTCAAACGCGTGTAGACCTAATAAAGTGTGTGTACCATAGGTGTTAATAGTTTGACGTCATTCGCGAACGATTTCACTAATTGTAAGCCAGCGATTATTGACCAGTGTCACATAGATGTGACTTCGATCGTGTTATCTCTCGTAGCATCCTTGGCACAGTTCGACTCATTTATAGTAGATAGTCGTCTATATTCGTTGCGAATAGCCACATAATTAAGGGAACATTTAATTTTTCACCGAACACAATCGTTCCGTTATTAGACGCAATTTATTCATACAATCTTCCTCGTTCTACTTTTCATCTACAGTTTCAAATCTACAGTTTAAATCTGTAATCTAAATCTATAGTTTGTATCTATAATCTTAACCCTTTGATTTAATTAATCAAACAGCAAGAGATCAGCGCGTAGTTTCCATTTTTTATATTAATCAAGCAACTGATAGGTAACTCAGTTTCATCTGCTGGAGCTTTTTCGTATTTCAAGAAATCTTCCGCAAAGGGTTAAATTTCGTGCGACGTGTCGATAAAATATTCTCCCTTCTAATCGTATTAAGCTTCTCGTTTGTCTTGATCCCGAGGAATATTCTCAGTTCCATCGGGAAATAATGAATATTTGCAACGAGAAATATTCCCGAGCGCGACGAGTTAAAGGGAAGAGACGACAGGGAAAGAACGAACAAATATAAAGTCTACCATTCACGAAAGTTTCTCCCGCAGCGTTTCTCTCCCGTTCGAATCTGTTCAGTGTTTTACAATCGAACTGGCTACGCGAACGTTTTTCACGTCGCGTTTGAAACTCTGAATATAGATAAACGAGCGCTTTTTGCGGTACGTGCGGTTGACGTGCATTGGTTACGTGCAATCGATTACGTTCGAAGCCGTATTCATATTACAACAAAGAACCTTAACTAATTCACTGATACTTCATAATACTTCCATTCTCCTGCCTTCAACTTTCGACCTCTCCCTCTTAACTCGTCTAGACAACGTATCACACTTTCATTCAAATCGGTAGGATCTTCCGTATAATTACTAGACTGCAAATCTGCAATCTCAAACTGCTCACAATATAATAATAAACTTCAAAATTACGATAGAAAATGATTTTTCTCGCCAAATATTATTAACACTAGGTTTACGAGCATTTATTGTACACTTGATTCTATTATTCCTAAAAGAATTGATGCTCGCTTATTTAGATTGTGGAAACTGAAGATTTGATAGTAGGTGATTGTAATAAATAATATTTCTAAAATCCAATATGCGTCACTTTGACGCGTTCCGTAAACCTAGCGTTAACACTGAACTTTGAATATTATATATATCTCTCATATATATTCCACGCAATATTGCACTTTCAATTTGATTTAACCCTTCAAATTCCAAATACAAAGTTCAACGAAAAATACGTTTCCACGATACCCGTCAACTTCTCATTCCTAACGAGAATGGATGTTTCTATAAAAAGCGGCATTCTAACTGTCAAACGAATAGGTGGCCGCTACTATATCGATTTCACACTGGCGGCTTCGCGACTCCGCTGGCTCGCGTTCTACTGATATTGAAATATGCGGCTGCCAGCGAAATCCGCGATACTTCTGAACGCTAAAGGGTTGAACCCGTAAACATCGTCCGCCGCCGATTACGAGAAAGAAGGAAAGAATTGTACTCACTTTGATTCGCACCATCATGTTCAAGTGACCCTGGCTATACTGCTCGATGACGTCGCGTACATCGTAGGGTTTCCGGGCTTGCTGGAACTTCCTCCTCGCGACGAAGTATTTGATCTTTCTGAGCGCCCTTATGGCGTGCCGGTGCGCTTCGGTCAGCCTGGAAATCAACGGAACTTCTCTCTGAATCGGTTCCGCACGGACTTTCTTGCGCGATCGTCAGAGACACGTTTCGGAATGGGAATCAACACGTTAAATGCCGCGTCGGTCACCGATGGCCGACGCTTCTGAGTTGCTCGAAGAAAATTGCAATATGCAAGATGACTGCTGTCGACTAAAAATCTTTAATGACGTAAATAAGTTAACAACATTGCGATGTAAGAATTCTGATGCCAAATAATTAATAATCGTTCCTATTTACCGTTGCTACGAAGGAACGAATCGTGTATAAAACGTTGAAGATTCTGGTGGCGCTTAACGCGTTAACTCTTTAAGCTTCTATTTTATAACTGGAAAACCGAATGATCGGACAATAGGAATCGATATTGTAGTATCAAGATTGCAGGGTCAGCTTTCTAAATATTAATTTATATTCATTGAAAAATCAAATATTAAGTTGTATTCAAGTTTTTTTAAATTTTATGTATTTTCATATCGTTTCTCGATGTTTTCGGTGCTTTGCAACGTATACAGCCATTCTTGACCATGTGTCCCTTAAAAATATTTTGTTAGAAAAATTACCGTGCACCACATGTGGCACACGTGGCACTGGACGTGTTAACCGAATGAATACCGCCGAGTAGGTGCACCGCGCAATAAAATGTAATTCATAGTTCCAAATTGGAGTGGCTCGACAATTCGCGGTCGGCTACTTTGAGAAACTGTTCCGCGCGGGGCGGCGAGCGTGGCGAAATAAGAAAAAAAAGGGGGAAAGAGGAAAGTGTGTTCGCGTATGAAACGCGAGGGGATGCGTCGCGAATCCAACCGCGAACGAGAGGGAGAGGAGAAATCTGGTCGCGACTGTGTCTTTGTGTTAAGGGTTCGAGTGCCGCGCGCGTCGCAAAGAATGTAGGCCGTCCGCGAAGCGGAGTAATGCACCGGTGAAAAAAGCACTTACGTTCTGTACTTTTCGCGGAAAAAAGCCTTTCACGGGCCGCCACCGCTGACGACGACGACGACGACACTACCGCGAGCCGTCGTTCACGGGGAACACAATGCGACACGTTGCAATTTGTTTTTCGAAAATGTTTCTGCTATTTATCTGTTCTTCTTGTTCAACGGCCAGTTCGAAACTGTTTGCGTCACGACTCGCTGGCGTGTTATTGTTGTTGTAAGTGTTAGCAGTGTTATTATATGTTATTTTATTATTGATGTTTGTTGGCGTGGCATATTGTGGATTTTTATGTGTATTAAATGAATGGAAAACCTGTTATGGTAGAGGCGGAAGGATAGTTTGTTGGCGCAAGATGTCTATTGTATATGAGGAATCTAGAAATGTCACAAGTGAGAATGTTCGTTTAAAGAACTGAGAAATTGATAATTATTCTTGTAGAGAGTTAAAATACGTTGAGAATAAAGTGGCAGCATTCTTCTTAGTAACGGTGCGCAATGAGAATTCTATTATAAGTGAAAACGAAAAATGGCCACAGATCAATCGAGCGTAAAAATAAATAAATATGAAGCGATTAAATGTTTTACTCCGGAAACTCCGATAACAAATGAAAACATTAGCTAGTCAATTTATGACGGAACGATGGTACTGAAAGCATCATGGCACATCAAGTACATCCGCTGCGAAAACCAGAACGCCGAAACGATCATCCACTGGCCGTACCAATGACAATATCGGCACGGTTTGTACTCCCTTTCTACTCTGTCTTCCCGAAACGTAAAATCGATCAAATCCCCGGAAGGCAGTCGGTGTTGCGGTTTACGACAATATTGTTCCGCGATTGCGGAGGCGCCCAACCTTCTATGGAAACTGATGCACGAGTTTAACCCTGCTACTATTTGGGGAGGAACCGGGTGAAGTCATCGGACACTCTAGTCAGAGTTCCAGTTTTAGTTAGCCGGACGATTATTCGGATGAATCATCGAGACGATCATTGGGATTTTGCAATCTGTATAGTCAAAATATCAGATGCATCGGAAAGTATCGTACATGAAAAGAAAATAACGTAATCAATGCATTGGTTCATATTTACTGAACAATAGAATTTCCAATTCGTGGATTTCATTTCTGCAGAACGATTCATCTTTGGAAACTCGAGATATCTCAATAAACTTCGCAACTTCACCTCTTTCGAGTAGTGTAATATTAATAATAATTTTAACCAGACAAAACATTACATGGTAATGCGAAACTTCAGATTATTCGGAGTCAAAGGAAAATGGTTCTTCACTTTCAACACTCGACTAACCAAAATATGCATAATTCGCTGTATGCATTTTCCAGTGCACTCCCAACGAAATAGATCCTCTTTCGAGTAGTACAACGTTAATAATAATTTTAACCATATAAAACATTGTATGGTAATACGAAACTTCGCATTATTCAGAGCCAAAGGAGAACTTCAATTCAAAGATTCAACTAATCAAAATACGCATTTTCCAATGCACTTCCAAAGGAAAAGATCTTCAGTATAATTTTCCATCGTACAACCGACGAAACAAACGAGGAATTTTCGGCCATCGAGAAATCGGACGTTCCGCATCGCGCGAGCCAATATTTCTGGAACATTGTCCAGTCACAAAGGGGGAAAATCAGATCGAATTACGGAAACGTTATAGATCGAGCAGCGTCTAACGCTTAACGAGATCCGGCGGTTGAATCGAATATATACGGTTGCAGGTTGCCGTCTCGTACGTTTCTCGAGTCTACTGCAGACCGTACGTGCTGGACGAAAATTCTCCGGTAATATCGATTCCGCATGCAAAATGAAAGTAATTTGCATGAAGATATAGGCGGCTCCCAACCGCTTTCCTCCGGCCTGATTTTCTTCGTTGTTATCTACACCGACGCGAGCGTAAAATAGCACGACGATACTACCGAACCCGTCCGGCTTCGAGAACTTCGACGTTTCTTTTAACTTTCCCTCCATTTTGTTTCCTCGCGCCGCGTTCCTTCGCTGGGGCGGCCATTTTCGACGCAGCGACGCGATCCTCTCCGCACGGCCGCGTGTACGTTTTGCATAGATTACATAGGCGTTTCAAATCGACGGCAGCGTTTCACTTGTTTCGATTACACGGAAATTCTTTTTCGAAACAAATATCTCGACAGGTTAACCCTAATACCACGTGTTTTTATGACGAATTAAATGATTATTTGAAAACTTTTCTATATTATGAATAATACTACTTACTGTGGTGACATTCATCTGGATGAATATGTAATTAATAATGCTGTTCAATGAAATGATTTAACCTTAATCTTGCCACGTGTTTTTATAACGAATTAAATGATTATTTGAAAACTTTTCTATATTATGAATAATATTACCTGATGCGGTGACATTCAGCTGGATGAATATGCAATCAATAATAATGCTGTTCAATGAAATGATTTAATTGTACCACGTGTTTTTATAACGAATCATAGCACAATGTGACTCTCGGTCACTTATGGGAATAAAAGGAATGATGAAAATGTTATTGTTTTTCTTTGTAGGGCCCAAATTTTCAAAGTCCAGAAAAACTTTTGGAAAAAGGTCAAACGTGACTCAAAGTCACATCGTGGTCCGATTAAGGTTAACACGTTCGCATTATGCAATCATCGTAGTGGCGCTGCTTTATTAAGTGCAGCGAATCGTTTGCATAGAATGCAGATAACATTCCAGAGGTAATTTAATTGTCTTCGTTCCAGATAAAGTTCTGGCGTCTGAAACGCGAAACGCTGGTCGCTAACGTGTTAATGTGAACAATGAATGTTCACGGGGATTTCGAGAGAAACCTTTTTGAAAGACTTTCGAAAATTTATGCTGGATATTCCGAAGCTCCCTCTCGCGTTTTACCTTTTCTAATTGGAAACTCGAGCAATTAAGCGAGGTAATTACGATACTTGGGTTACTCGGTTTATTAGATATTCGTTGTGGAACAAAATGTATTGGTTTATTGTACGTTAATGTAAATAATTAATATTCATAGGTATTTCGAGAGGAACTTTTTTGAAAGACTTTCGAAAGTTTATGCTGGATATTGAATGGCTCCTCGCGTTTTACCTTTACTAATTGAAAACTCGAGTAACTAAGAGCACGAATTGCAAGGTAAATAATTACATCGGTATCACTCTATTAACTAGTTATGTGTGGGACTTAGTCTGAAAAATCTCTCATTGTGCGCAATAAAATCAAATAATGCAGTGTATACTTGTCAATTGCAGGCCAAATACTTAAAATATATCCTAACGAAAAACTAAAGGAAAACGAAGGATTACATGTTTGTCTCAAAAAATAAATAATCCATCGTTGAAGAAGTTAGCGCCATTAAGAGTTTTAAGACGACGTGTATACTCGTCGAACACAGTTAACTGGTTAATTAGATCCTCGTAGAACAAAATGACTTGCTTTGTTATAAGTTGACGTAAAGAATGAATATCGACGGGGATTTCAATAAGGAAGGTCAACAGAAATTTATACGGTATTTTATCTTCCGCCGCCTGTCCTCATCGATGGATTTTATCGTTGGCAATCGAACATTTAATTAATTAATAACGCATTCAACGATTAAAGGGGACACGATTCGCCAGCTTATGTTCGAAGGGAATTAACGATTAAAGTAATTTGAGTATCAAAGCGCGCGTGACGTGCCATTTGAAGGGAAAAGAAAAGAAAAGGGGTAACGGTGCACGGGCATTTCGGTACGTAAGCGTGTAACGGTTAAATATGAAGGCGGGGTATCGAGGGCCATTCAATTTTACCTTATCGCTTTTTCCCGTATCTGCAGATCGGCCCGACGTTACCGTCCGCCCCAATTAAGGCAACTTTGCCGGGAATATTGTAAATATCGGGCGTTAATTAAATGCGACGCACATTGTTATTTATTGGGCCCGGAGTGTACCGGCGGAATTGATTCGGCGGAATTACCTCACGCAGCAAGAACGACCAGTTTTATCGTCGCATTAATTTGCCAATCAATTTGTTAATGTGACCGGCGATTACTGGA